GGAGTGAGGGAGAGCAGGCTCGGAGCAAACAGTCTAGTGACGGCTCATGGAAGCCCCGTGGAGGAGTTTGAATTTATCGGAAAGTGGGTGCCTCTGGGGGTGAGGGTGAAGGAAATGGCACAGCAAAAGGGAAGCCCGGTGGGCCCTTCTGATGTGTCCAGATTAAGCTCTAAAGCTTTAAGAAAAATCCAGAAACACGGCCTTCTGCAGTGTCCTGCCTCAGCGCCTCTTGACTTCAGGAAAAACATGGGTAGCGTCTCTACCCGTGTCACCTCCACCCCTGTGTTTGTTGGGGAGGCAGATCAGACCCACGGTCACCGTCAAAGGCGTTTGGGACAGACTAATCCTCCCCCAGCTGCAGAACAGTCACAGGCAAACGACTTCACCTGTGAGACCCTCTGTCTCTTCTTCCGTAAGACGGGGAGACAAGAGTTTCAACCTCATATTCACCGAGCTGTTCAGAGTTATGTAATGAGGATACACCCAAGGTGCTCAGCACAATGTCTGACGTGGTAGTAACAATAACACAGAGTTGCAATTGTTAATTCCAAGTGGGGTCTTCCCCTCTGTCTGGTCCATGTCAGACACTGATGCACAGGGGCCTGTTTGTTGACTGAGTCATGGATCCTCCTGCTGGCAACCCTGCCTTGAGTGTGGCACGGGACTCCCAAGCAGGGCGGTGGCAGAGCCCAGGGCGCCTGGAGTCTACCAGGAGCACCAGCTGCTGCCCGGCCTGCATGGCTCCTCCCCTCCCCTCCATCCCTGACTCCTCATCATCGACCATGCCGGACCAATTAGGGGCGGTAGCAATTAAGATGTGCCAAGGGCACACGAACATTTGCAAACACTTATTAAAATGCATCAATAATTAAATGCATCTTTAATAGTTACATTTGTGGCCTCCAGACATATCCGTTTCTGGACCTTGAGTCACAACATGCTTTGAGATCTGTGTCACGGCCCTACCCACTGGTAATGAGAATTTAAAATTCTTCCCTGACTCGAATTTGGAGATTTGACAGCGAAACGGTGGGGAGAGAATGGCCGGGCGCTTTCCAGCTGCCTGATCCGAGAGGTATGGCCTTCGATGGGGTAGAAACCCAGGCTCTTCTGCCGTGCCGTCTCAGGGAGGGCCCTTCCCCTCCCTTTCCTGGGCTGTGAAGTGTGCAGAATGATACCTGCCTCCTAGGAAGGACATAAGGGTTAGCAATTATGTGTGCAAAATGCCTGCCACATTTAAACTCGAGTCACAGCAGCTTTTGTTAGGGTTGATAGTAGCCCACTATTGTTGTTGGAAGACAAGGACAGGCTGCAGTTAGCTGAGGGACAGAGGCCATCAGTGTACACCAGGGGTTCCAAACTCATGCCTACCTGGATTAGCAGGTGACAAAAATGAAAGAAGCTGTGTTGGGACAGGAATAAATGTAAGAGCACAGATGCCCCCTCTCAGCTCCAGCCCTTGGAGCTGGGCAGAGTGCAGACCCAGTTGCCCAGGTTTCTAATTTTTCAAGAGAAGTGGGAAATCAAGGTGTTGCTATGATTTTTCTGTTGTTTTTGTTTGTTTGTTTGTTTGTTTGTTTGTTTTGAGTCGGAGTCTCACTCTGTTGCCCTGGCTAGAGTGCAGTGGCACGATCACAGCTTGCCACAGTCCTGACCTCCTGGGCTCAGGCAATCCTTCTGCCTTAGCCTCCCAAGTAGCTGGTGCACCACCACACCTGCTTCATTTTTTGATTTTTTTGGTAGAAACTCACTGTGTTGCCTAGGCTGGTCTCAAACTTCTGGGCTAAAGCTATCCTCCTACCTCGGCCTCCCAAAGTGCTGGGACTACAAGCAGGAGCCACTGTGCCCAGCTTGACTTTGAAATCTGGCAATTTATTCAACTTTAAAAAAAAATTACTGCATGGGCCAAATACCTCTGTGGGTTGACTTGGCACAGCCTCCGATCGTGACCTGTGTCTACATGACCCCATTTTCCAGGTAATTGGTTGGGTCTCCACTTTCTTTGAGCCACAGAGGCTCACGGGTTGAAATTCACCTTTCCGATGTAGTGACAGCCTGTAACCAATTGGTGCGGATTGGAAACCGAATAAGCTAACGGGAAAGGAAGCAGTTGAATAATCCCAGATTCAGGGTTGAATCCCATCTGGTACCAAGAGGCTGGAGGTGTGTGGAAAAGAGGGCGGCACACCCCTCCCTGTGATTCATTTCCCCACTGCAAGTCTAAAAAGGGGGTCGGGCGCTGGGCGACCTAGCTGTGGCGGGAAGCTTAACTCATACGGCAGCGACTGCAAGCCCTGCTCCCTTAGCACTCTAGCTTAGAGTGAGTGTTTGTGGATCCATTCCGAGGCTGACTTATTTTATTATTATTTTACTTTATTATTATTTTTTTAGAGATGAGTCCTCGCTATGGTGCCCAGGCTGGTCTCGAACTCCTGGGCTCAAGCAATCCTCCTGCCTCGGCCTCCCAAAGTGCTGGGATTATAGGCGTGAGCCACCGCGCCCAGCCATGGACTTTATTTTTAAATACATCTGTAGTTACGAGTAAATAACCTGCATTTGTTTATTTGTTTATGTATTGATTGGACCAAATCGCCCTAACACCTCCCTAGTTGGGCGCAATCAGATTCGGTTTTTTAACATGCTTTTAAGGTAAAGAAATAAATACAGTTGAGGCTTGTAAAAGGTGGTCATTAGCGAATGGGCTTAGGTCCCATAACTTTAAAGTAATAGTCCCATTACAGAGAAGGGCAGTGATTTTTTAACTGTTCCTCCGAGTTGATGCTGTAAGGTGGAGAGTTTCTAGGCAGGTTGGGCATCTCGGTCAAAGCTTTTCCAGTAGCCATTTAACCTCCATTTACGAAGAAATAAAGCGAAATTGATGCTGATTTGGGCCTGCTTTGGGGGCCATTTCTGCTCCGTAAAAGCCCTTTTGCCTGCAATTTGCTGAGCTGCCCTGTCACACGAGAAAGGGCGGCTGTTGATCAAGATAAAGCTTTATGGCCACGATATTTGCTGCTAACAGCATCCTAATGCAGCATTTTCATTTTTGTGCAATTAATGCTAATGTCTGCTACGAAAATTGTCATTAAATACCATTTTAAAATCCATTCAGTTTGCATATACAAATCCCATTTACCATCACAGAAGATCTAGCCGGCATTTCATCATGTCTTTTCCCTGGAATTGTGGCCACTCGGTTTCATGGCAATTTAAGCTTTTATATTGAAAGCTGAATAACAATGGATGTCCTTTCCGGGCCTGGCTGACTTAGGCGATGCAATAGAAAACCTCCACCCCAGGACAAAAAAAAACTATGAGTGTTCACACTGCCCCTCAGTCCCAAGGAAGCAGGTCACAGAGCGAGGAGCACTGGACGGGGAGTCTGCCAGCCAGACTCTAGAGCTGGCTTGGTTTAACAACTTGCTGTGTGACTACAGGGAAGCTCTCTTCACTAGTCTGAACTTCTATTTTCTTGTTAAAATAAGGGCTTTTAAGCATGGGGTGGCTCATGTCCTGTGTGCTCTAATATTCTCTTTCTTTCTTTCTTTTTTAATTTTTAAGACAGGGTCTCATTCCATTGCCCAGGCTGGAGTGCAGTGGCGTGATCCCAGTTCACTGCAGCCTCAGCCTCCTGGGCTCAAGTGATCCTCCTACCTCAGCCTCCCGAGTAGCTGGGAATACATGCACCACTACTAATTTTTGCACTTTTTTGGGTAGAGACAAGGTCTCACCATGTTGCCCAGGTTGGTCTCGAACTCCTGAGCTCAAGTGATCCTCTCCCAAAGCACCGGGATTACAGGCACGAGTCACTGCGCTCGGTCTATTTTCCCTTTTTAAGTCTAAGTACACTAGGTTGAGAAACCCTGTCATGAAGAAGTTGTGTGAACTTGGGGAGGTCCACTAACCTCTCTCTGCCTGTGCTTACCTCCTGCACAGAGATTTAACGACAGTAACAAATAACAAATCGGCATGAAAGTTTATCACCAAGCTGAGGGGGACAGAATGTGTTCTGAGGACCACAGAATGTTGCGATTCGTGTGTGTGTTTCTAGGGTAACCCTCATCTACACATGAGGAAACAAAAGCCCTGGGGCAGACTGACCTGGAGAGTTAGAACAAAGCTGGATCGAGCTCCACAGGCCAACTCCCGGCCCATGGCTCTTTCCCTATCACCATACTGTCTTTGAGACACTTGGTCACCAGCATGGACTCATCTAGTGACCCAGTGCACAACATGGACACCCTGTCCTCTCTGACCCAAGAGCCCTGCAAGAACAAGGCAAGGGGATCACTCGTGCTGCAGACTGTGAACGAGAGCCAGATCAGTCAGCAAAAGTCATGGGCGACCTCTTGGAGAGACCGACTTGGGGAAGGATTTCCAAGGAGCACAGGTGATTGGTTAATCCATCCCGGAAGTGACTTTCCAATGTGTCTCTAGTGTCACCTTCCTGGCTTTAAGGGCTGGTGAATAAAAATACATTTCTGGTGAGAGATGTGCCTAGTATTTGGGGCCATGGGAGGAGGTGGGAAAGGTTACCTAAGTGCTAAGGCTGAGAGGAACTTTGAAGCACGAGTTGGCTTTATCAGGTAGGATGGCAAGAAAAGCGCACAAAGATATGGCAGCATATGCTATAGAGAGCAGTATGGCGGGTCCTCAAAAAATGAAACATAGAATGACCGCAGGATCCAGCAATTCCACTTCCAGGTAGATACCCCAAAGAATTGAAAGCAGGACCTCAAACAGGTATTTGTGCACGCATGCTCATAGCAGCTTGATTCACAATAGCCAAGAGGTAGAAAAAAATCCAAATGTCCATCAACAGAAGGATGGGCAAACAAAATGTGGTATATATGCGTAAAGGAATATTTTTTTCCCACGTAACCACATTCAGCTTTATTCTGAATTAACCATCCATCAGGAGTGTACCTCCACAAAGGGTAGAACAAAATAAAGGCGGCCATCAAAAAAGTTCCCTGGCAAATGGGAGGGAGGGAATGACACTACGAGCCCTGTTTGGGGACGGAAATGTCATCCAGGTCATGGATGTTGTTTTTTTCGATGATTCAAAAGCTGAAGTTCGACGGATTAAGGATGAAGCATTTCTGGAGCTCCTCTAGACATTTCTTAAGAAGCTCTGCTGCCCTCTCCTGTGAGATAGTAGTTGTGTGGTATCCGTTACTGAGAGTCAGGAAGGTACCATAGCCTTGGGCTGCAAAAGGAGCCTCGGTCAAGGCTGCTAGGTAGTCCATGTGGTGGAGCGCTGGTCCCTTATGCTCATCGTAGCCAGCCAGGAAGAGGTTCACATGATATGGGGTCCGACCCCAAAGACAATCAGTCGGGTTTCAGCATGTGAAATTAGCTGCTGCTGTGGGAGACAATTCATATCCATTTCGCATCTTATAAAGTCGGACATTTTTCTGAATATATTGTGCAAACTGTACAGTGTCTCCAGCCTCTCCAACACATAGGAGTAAGATTTTTTCTCTCATCTTAAGCATCTCATCATGATCATCCTTCATCTGGACAACATTGCCGGTGGCCACTCGGTCGGAGGCGACAAGGACATAATCGGGGCCTTGGAGACCGATGAGGTGCTCTGTGGTCGCGGAAGCCTGGGAGCTGCAGGTTTGACAGGACACGAGGCTCCATAAGGGAATATTATGTAGGCTTAAAAAGGAAGGAAATTCGGACTCATGCTACAACATGGATGAACTTTGAGGACATTAGGGTCAGTGAAATAAGCTGGACATAAAAAAGGCAAATGTTATATGATTCCATTTATGTGATGTCTCTGGAGGAGTTAAATTCATAGAAACAGAAACTAGACTGGTAGGTGCCAGGGGCAGGGCCAGGAGGGTGGTTAGTGTTTCTTGGGGACAGAGTTTCAGTTTGGGATAATGAAAAATTTCTGGAGATGGATGGTGGTGACGGTCGCACACAATGTGAATGTAGTTATGTCCACTGAACTGTACACTTAAAAAGGATTTAAATGGCATATCTTACATATATTTTACCACAATTTTATTTTTTTGAGTTGGGAGACTGCTGGAGTGCAGTGGCACGATCATGGCTCACCGCAGCCTTGACCTCCTGGGCTTAGACAATCCTCCCGCCTCAGCCTCCTGAGTAGCTGGGACTACAGGAACATGCCACCACGCCCAACTAATTTTTTTTTTTGTAGAGATGAGGTCTTGCTATGTTGCCCAGGCTGTTCTCCTACTTCTGGGCTGTGTGCTCCTCCCACCTTGGCCTCCCAACTACAATTTTAAAAATTAGAGGAAATAACATTAAAAATTAAGAAGGAATCATACACCTCAAAAAATGTATGTGTGGCATAGTCCTGGTCCCGGAACAGTGGGAGGGGGGCTTGAAACGAAAGACTGAGTTGGGGTGTCAATGGCCTTAAATGAAGGCCAGGTAGGATGTTGGCTCTGTCAGTCACAGGTGGCTGGGCAGGGCTCCAGACAGTTGAATGTCAGGGTTTGTTGTTGCCGTCTGGGAGCAGCCTCGCCTATTTATTTGTTCAGAGTGATGCATAAATATTGGAAATTTTTGTAATATGCTGTTTGCGCTATTATGCCAAAAGGGTTAGGAAGCCCTGCAACGGTGGACATTTGCTGGGTCTGCCTGCCAGGCATCCATTCCCCTCCAGGGAACAGAGCCCTGATCTGCACAATTTTTCCATCATCGGCCCATGTGGATTGTGGGAATTGACATCACTTGACTCCAGAGAGGGGGCGTGAGGAGACCTGGCCAGTCAGACCTTTGGATTGTCCTGGCCTCAGTCATTGGCTCAGAGGCAGACATGTGACCCGAGCCTGACCAATCAGTGCATCTCACAAGCCCTGGTCATAGTGGTTGGGTCAGGAATGGGCACTTGACTGGGGATGGATCAAATAGTCTTGACTTCAAGGCTTTTGTAGCTCCTACATCCTTCACGCTGGGCACACCAAGAGAACAGTCAGAACAGAACTGCTACTGGCCATTCTGCAGGTGAAGAAGAAGTTTGTCAGAGAACAGAGCCAAAACCAGGAAGCACAGTCAAGTCATGGAGAGACAGATGCTGATGACATTGCCTGACCAGCTAGATCCAACTGTACCTGAAGCCCTGCTCCTAAGCTGTGACATCATGTGAGGCAATAAATTCTCTTAAAAAAATTAAGGCAGTTTGAATTGAGTTTTGATTACATGCAACTACATTCTATTATTACAGAATGTCATGTGTGCCAGGGTTGGAACATGCGTCAAGTCACACGCTTGGCTCTGACCCAGCCACTGGGACCAGTGCTTGTGAGATGCACTGACTGACTCAAGCCTGGTTACATGTCTGCTTCTGAGCCAATGGCTGAGGCCAGAGGAATCTGATCTTCTGGTTGGGCAAGCCTGATCATATGCCCCTCCCTGGAGTCAGGTGAGAAGTCAGTTCCCACAATGCATGTGGGCTGATTCTATAAAAGTTGTGCAGATTGGGGCTCTGTTTCCAGTAGTGCCAGCATGTCTAGCTCACAGTCCACAAGCTGCATGCAGCCCAGGACAGCTAGTAACACAGCCCCGCAAAATCTTTTAACATCATGTATTTTTTTAGTGTTTGTTTCTTCGAGACCCCGTGCATGATTCCATTTTTGAAGTTCACAATCACTCCTTATTCGTGACGTCACTTTTTGGCAGCACTTACATTTGTGAGCAGCTGTTGTTGTTTTTTTTTTTTTCTAAAGACAAGGTCTTGCCAAGTTGCCCAGGCTGGTCTTGAGTCCCCTGGACTCAGGTAATCCTCTTGCCTCTGCCTCCCAAAGTGCTGGGATTACAGGCATGAGCCACTGTGCCCGGCCTAGCTGTTTTCAGTGATGAGGCACAGGATGAGAAAAACTTGAACAAACATTTCTGACGAGCACCTTGAGAACTCCCTAAGAATTGCGACCACTTCCATCGAACTCAACATCGATAGATAAGTTTTACAAAAACAAGGTTGAGTTTCCCACTAGCTTTATATTATTCTCATTTTTTCTAAACTTTACATTAAAATATTTTAAAAATAAGTCTTAGCCGGGCTCGGTGGCTCAGCCCGTAATCCCACGTCTTTGGGAGGCTGAGGTGAGTGGATTGCCTGAGCCTGAGGGTTCGAGACCCGCCTGGGCAGGCGAGACCTCATCTCTGCGATAAATCAAAAAAAATTAGCCGGGCGTGGTAGCGCGCGCCTGTAATTCCGGCTACTCGGAAGGCTGAGGCGGAAGGATCGCCAGAGCCCAGCAGGTCGAGTCTGCGGTGGCCGGGAGCGGCCACTGCACTCCAGTCTGGGCGATAGAGTGAGACTCCAACTCAAAAAAAAAATAATAAGTCTTATTATATATATACACTAACTCTGTTATATAATTTATATGTGTGCAGCTCAAGACTATTCCACTTTATTCGATGTGGCCCAGGGAAGCCAAAAGGTTGGACGCCCCTGGCAGTGAGAGATCCAACCCAGGGAGGCAAATGCAGCAAACAGGATGAAGTCCCTGACTGTGGAGCTGTGACAGATATCTGTGTCGAGAATGGCATCGTTCCATCTGTGTACTAGAGAGGGAGCTCAGGAGGAATGTGGACAATGGCTGGGAAAGGCCAATTCTGGAAGGAGAGCGACAGCAGGTAGCAGGTTTCTGCAGAAGTGTAGTTAGGAGAAGACCCGGCATGGGCAGAATGAGGTCCACAGTGCTAAATACCGCCTGTTGGCATCTCTTTATCTCCCCGCCTGTATCTGTGTGGACTGTGGGTCCCCACTGGCATTCGGGAGCTGATCTAAGCCTAGGTTAGCGGCATCCTTGCCCTCACTGATAGTGGTGAGGGTGTGGAATCACTGGGGCGGTGATGGGACTCATGTAGCCTTTGGAGATGGTGGGGCCACAGGGCAGTCATTTCTCAGGGGGAACAGAGGAGCTTTCTGGGGTGCCAGATATATTCTATATCTTTACCCGAGTCGTGGTTACGTGAGTGTTTCCACCTATAAAATTTCACTAAGCTGAACACTTCGTGACTTGTGTGTTTCACGATGTGTAAGTCAAACCGCAATAACAATCTTTTAAAATTTCACAGCTTGGCTAGGTGCGGTGGCTCACGCCTATAATTCCAGCACTCTGGGAGGCCGAGGTGAGAGGATTGCCTGAGCCCGCAGGTTCGAGACCAGCCTGGGCAACTTGGCGAGACTTCGTCTCAACAATAAATCAAAGAATTAGCTGGGAGTGGTGGCATGTGTCTGTAGTTCCAGCTCCTTGGAAGGCTGAGACGGAAGGATTGCTGGAGCCCAGCAGGTCAAGGCTGCGGTGGCTGTGAGCTTGCCACTTTGCTCCAGCCTGGGAGACAATGAGACTCCAACTCAAAAAAAATTTATAGCCGGGCTCGGTGGCTCAGCCTGTAATCTCAGCACTTTGGGAGGCTGAGGTGAGTGGATTGCCTGAGCCCGCGGGTTCGAGACCCGCCTGGGCAACTTGGCGAGACCTCCTCTCTACAATAAGTCAAAAATTAGCCAGGCGTGGTAGCGCGTACCTGCAGTTCCAGCTACCTGGAAGGCTGAAGCGGAAGGATTGCCGGAGCACAGCAGGTTGAGGCGGCGGTGGCTGGGAGCGTGCCACTGCACTCCAGTCTGGGTGACAGAGTGGGACTTCAACTCCAAAAAAAAAAAAAAATTATTCCTACATATTTAAACTTCAGTCATCTACAGAGTACTCTGTTTGATGCAATACACCTATCAGAACACTTTTTCCACTGCTTGAAATGGTTTTTGAATGCATCGATTTTGACGCCTTTTAGTCTTCTGCTGTTTTTTGTTTCACCTCTTCCACATCGGCAAGACTTTTCCCTTTGAGGACTCTTTTCATCCAGGGAACCAAACTAACAAAATCTCTCGAGGTGAGATCGGGTGAACAGGGTGGAGGGGCCGTGAGGGTCATGCCATCTGGGGGCAAAAACTGCTGAACACTCAGGGCGGTGTGGGCAGGTACACTCGTAAATCACCCATCATGAAATGGGCAAGCACACTGAAAGAATCTACACACACACACACAAAATCACCGAAGCCAAATTCAGCGTCTCACAACAATGCTAGCTGGTACACGGATGCTATGGTTTCCTCGAACACTTACCTAGCACAGGAAACCTGTACGACAAGGGACCAAGCCTCTAAAAGATAATTCTGGTTTTTTGGGGTCTCCCCTCCTACTAACTGACATTTATTGAGTACTTACTGTGTCCCAGGCCCTATGCTGTGATTTTTGTATGCCTTAATGTCACTGAAACCTCTCAGCAATACCAAGAAGCAGGTATTATTGTTAACCCCACTTTACAGATGCAGAAACCGAGGCAAGATTTGAGTGCAGGCTCCAGGGTCTCTCTTGTGGCCTCACCAGGTTGGTGCCGTGCTGGGGTAAACTGGCAGGCTCTCCCCTCTCTCATTCAGGTTATTAAGTCCCCTGAGGGCCACAGAGATGGTCTTAATCAGCGTTCGCTAGTTGAGGGAACATGGGTGGCCTTACTGTGTGTCCCGCGGCAAGGCAAGGACCCAGCTCACAGGATTCAGGATGTGGCCATGAAGGTCACACAAGAGTCCTTGGAGAAGGAGGAAGGTGGGCCTGGGAGGATGCCCTGCTGCCCTGTCACCCCCCGACATTGTTCCCGGATTTAGTCAGCCCCCTCTTCCCTCCAGGGCATGGAGGCCAATGGGTGCCAGCCGCCTTACCGTGCCCGGACCCCGAAAGTCATGTTTGGCGGGAGAGAGGGCGGTTCCTTCTTCAGGCGCCGGTCATCCTGGTCGCTGATGCGGATGTCATTGAGCTGACGGTACAGGACATTCTCCCTGGCGGTCACAAGGCCGGCTTTCACCGCCCCGCGGTTCATGGCGATGTAATTCCGGGTCAGCTCTTGGTGGCAGGTGGGCTGTTGCTTATACACGTTCCAGTGTCCGATGGCTGGGGACAGGGGAGACAGAACCAGGCGGCAGAGGTCAGTCTGGGAGACAAGCCCCTCCTCCCCCCGTGGCAGCTGACTGAGAAGAAACTGGTCCTCTACCTTCGCACTAACCCCAGCCCACCAGGTGACAGCCTGCCTGGGCCCCAGAAAGCATGATGGCCGAAAGGGAGGGACCAGGACCCCAGAGATGCCAGAAGAGGCCCGGCCTCTTTCCTGGTGCTGGGCTGGCCCCGCCCTTGGCCTCCTTTGGGCAATCAGAGGGTTGGTCCCAAACCCACTCTGTGTTCACAGTCTGGGGTACCCTTGCTATTTCTCTGACACCTCAGATCTGCCCCCTGCCTGGTCCTCCCCATCTCGGCTAAGCCCTCGGCTGCCCAGACTCATGGTCCTTGGGTCTTTCTCTGGCACCCGGCCGCAGCCAATCTGGGTCAAGAGCTCTGTGAAGGGGGTGGGAGGTGAGCCTTCCGCCCACTCCCCAGACCCTCATGATCCAAAGTGTGTTGGCTCACCTTCCGGGACCCCTCCGTCCAGCCCCCGGATGTAGAGTCCATAGTTAAAATTAACACCAGGCAGACTGCAGCTCCTTTCTCGGGGCTTGCCGAGTTCAGCCTGTTGGGAGGAGAGAGAGCAGAGGTGAAGGGCAGAGTCTCACACCAGCTGTATTCTAATCCGGCGACAGGGAGGTACCAGGCCCCCACTCTGCCCCAGGCCCTTTGCATGACCTTCGGGGATACCTGGGTGAGGACGGCAGAGTACTTCCTGAGAGGAACCCTGTGGAGACACCGCAGAAGCTGACTGGCATGCTCATGCTGAGAGCTGAGTGAGGACAGCAGAGATGGGAGGCCCCATGGTGCCTCTGGACAGCTGGGGAGGGAAGGGTCGGTCCCCAACCTGAGCAGCCATGTTTAGAGTCGAGCCTGGACCTGCCTGGAAACTCAAGACCACATTCAGGAGGGCTCACCTGCAGACCACTATCAAGAGAAGGGGACGTCTTTTCTGTTTACCACTTCATGTCTACTAGGGATGGCTCAAACCATTGTCACGAAGAAGCTGCTTCCTCCTCGAATCCTCACCTTAGGGTGGGGACACAGCGACACCCCGTCAGGGTCCGAATAGCTGTTTGTCCTCTCTGAGACCCTGGTGAACTCCTTGACTCTCAAGAGGAAGTTTGTATGAACCACATTGTCCCATGATCAACCACAAACCCTTCTTTGGTTTTTGTTTGTTTGTTTGAGTCAGTCTCACTCTGTCGCCCCGGCTGGAGTGCAGTGGCACAATCACGGCTACCACGGCCTCTACCTCCTCTTTCCACCTCAGCCTTCCAAGTGGCTGGGACGACAGGCACGCACTACCCCACCCGGTCAACTTTTTGATTTTTTGGTAGAGACAAGGTCTGGCCAAGTTGCCCAGGCTGGTTTTGAACCCCTGGGATCAGGCAGTCCTACAACCTCGGCCGTCCAAAGTGCTGAGATTATAGGTGTGAGCCGCCATGCCCGGCCACTGTGCCCATTTTTCATGGGGAGGCCGAGGCACAGAGAGGTCAGACAGGTTGCCCCAGGCCAAACAGCAGGAAGTGGCAGAGTTGGGATTGGAACCCAGGCTGGCTGCCTCCAGCCCACACTCAGATCCGCAGGCTAAATAAATGCCCATGCGGCCCAGCTTCTCATGGCTCCCTGGTGCCAGCAGACCCAGGGGTGTTACTGAGAAGGGTGGGTGCAGCTGTTCCTACCACTGCCCATGGGCCTCCAGGTTGAGGGTTCGAAGTCACAGGGTGTCATGTCTCCTAAGATCTCTCTGCTCTGGCCTCGCCAAAGCCTATCCAGAAGGGCTAGTGGGCTCCAGCCTCACTTTATCTCCTCCTGTCATCTCACCTGTGTCCCTAACTCTCTGGCTGCCACAGGTTAGGTACCCAGAAGTGGTAGATGGTCGTGGACCACCCATAATGGCTCCAGGCTGGAGTGCGTGGCACGATCATAGCTCTCTGCAGCCTTGACCTCCTGGGCTCAAGTGATCCCTCTGCTTCAGCCTCCTGAGTAGCCAGGACTACAGGCGCGCACCATCATACCATGCCTGGATAATTTTTCTATTTTTTTGTAGAAAGAGGGCTCTTGCTATGTTGCCCAGGCTGGTCTTGAACTCTTAGCCTCACGCGATCCTCCCACCTTGGCCTCCCAAAGTGCTGGGATTATAGGCATGAGCCACCACAGCCGGCCCCATCCCTGCCTTTGGAATAAGCTCCTCCCTCAGGCTGGCAGTCCAGGCCCTGCACCCTCTGACCCCACCCAAGCCTGCAGTGACTCCCCCAAGAGGCTGGGCTGTTGAGGCAGACCACGCCCCCTCGTCGGAAGGACCACAGGTGGGCCTCTCAGCCTCCTCCACTGCCCTGTGCTCTGGGCCTGCCCCCCCCCCCCACTGCTGGTCGTTATCTTCCAAGCCCTGTCTCTGCCAGAAGCTCTCTGGACCCCCTGGGCCCTCTGTGGCTCCCTCTCATTTGAGCTCCAGCCACTCTTACTATCTGTTCTGTTCATCTGGGGCTTAGAGCTTAAGTCACCTCTCAATTTCCATAATGTATATGTGGACCATTCTGCCTAGACTATAAATTCCTGCACAGCCAGAACCACAGCTCTGATGACTTTCTTTTTCCTGTTGGTACACCGCTATTAAAAGCCTCTTCCTCTGGGAAGCCTTCCTGGATTGGCATCAGTCCAGACAAGCCTGCTGGCATATGGCAGCACCCTAGCACCCCGAGCCCATCTTCACAGCACTTTCAACATGGCACAGTCATACTTGCTGTAGCACGAATGGACCTTAACAGTATGATGCTGCATGGCCAGACATGAGGGCCACATCCTGCATGATCCATCTATGTGAAATGTCCACAATAGGCAAATCCATAGACAGAAAGTAGATTAGTAGTTGCCAGGGCTGGGGGAGGGAGGGTGCCGAAGTGGAGTGCTTGTGCGGGTGATGGCTAGGGGGCGTTCTTTGGGGGTGATGAAAATGTTCTAAGCCAGGCTCAGTGGCTCAGCCCGTAATCCCGCGCTTTGGGAGGCCAAGGTGAGTGAATTGCCTGAGCCCGCGGGTTCGAGACTCGCCTGGGCAACTTGGCGAGA